TATTTTGATCTTTTCCAGAGTTGAAGTTGGCTGAAACAGCAAAATCACTGTATGAAAAAGTTAAGGTAAATTCCTTTGAAAAGAGAAATATTTTGTGTACTCTAATCAATATTTTGGATATGCGGAGTAATTGTTGATATTTGTGTTTTTATGCATATAATTTTCCATTTCCCATATTTACTGTAAGGAGCTTTGAAAATTCCATTTACATTTGGCCACTCTTGATTTGTTTATTTTTCTGTAGGTTGATAAATTTACTACAGATGTTTACAAGCCTAACTAAATGGTTTATATATGTAGAACAGCTACTTGAATTTCTTTCAGGTTGAGAATTGAAGTAATGCTATAATCGTTATCTCGATTCATGTAAGGCATTGTGGTTTTCTTAGTTATGGTTTGTAAAACAATAAAAAACAAATAGATAAGAAGGTATTAGAGCTCAAAATGAGTTGTCATTGTATCACAAATGTATTTTTAATCTTTTGCCTTTAGATTGTAACTATCATTGTCACAACTATTTATCTTGGCCTGCTTTCTGTATTCTTAATTCCCGATTCATTTGTTCATTTGAAATTGGTCTCAAAAGTATGGTATGTTATGCAATCGAAACTGCCACGTTAAACCATCGGCTACAGTCACAATTTACATGTTTATAGTTATTAAAAATAATGTTCAAACGATGAAAATAGACAGGTGTGGATTTTCGACGCGTAAAATACGGTAAGAAGTACTTTAATTCTATCTATCAAATCAGCTCAGGAAAAATAAGTTCACTAATTTCGTTTCCCCACCAGAGTATTCATTTAGTAAGGTTTCCTATTGTTTATTTTAATATTTATCTATACTGCTACATACTGAGTGACTTAATGTGAGATTATACACCGTTATCCCTATCTGTGGGAAAGGTAGATTTTTTCTAATGTATCAATATTTCTGCTTAATTTAGGGTTCTAATCCGGAGAGATTGGTTGCAGGATCCGATGACAATACACTTTCTTTATGGCAACCCGAAATTGATAAAAAACCACTTGCTCCCCGAATGACTGGTCATCAAGGAGTTGTGAACGATGTGAAGTTCTCTCCAAATGGTCGTCTTCTTGCTAGTGCTAGTTTTGATCATTCTGTCAAAATTTGGGATGGTTTTACAGGACAGTGAGTTTTTTTGATACAACCATTGTTAAATAAAATCTTGAAATGTGTATAGTTGGGAAATGGTAACCACAATCCAAGTGCCTCATTTACTTGAATGTAGGTAAGGAATACTCAACTTTTTTTAGTTAGAATGGTGCTTAAACTCATAAATATCTGGTCAGACCTCCAATTCTACAACAAATGTACTACAGTTAGAATTTTCATCTAGAAACGACTACTGATCTTGTTGTGCTTATGTGGTGTGATAATTTGAACCTTTAGACAAACATTCTTTGTTCTAAGCTAGTTTTGACTGGCTTACACTGCTTATAAGTAGGAAATCCACAGACTTATTCAGTTTATAACATTGTAATATCGAGTGAAGAATGGTTTGTTTAAGTTTGCATAATTTGATTCATCAAGATTCGTCGATCAGTATCCTGGAAATCATGAAACTGAATAGTTTATGGTGTTATTTGATACCGTTGAAAACAAAATCCACTGGTGGTCCTACTCTGTTGTGTTTTTAATAAATACTCGAATGATCAAAATACATCCAGATTGTATTTTTACCAATATTGTACCGTTCAATATTGAATCATATGTTTCTTTCTACCGTATTTTCTCCTGTCAAGTTAGTTTTTATCATAGACTGAGCATATGATCTAATTTAATCTATTATTACCTTCACTATATGATTATCGTATTATCATACCATATTTTAGATTTTTAGCTACTATGTTTGGTCATGTTCAAGATGTGTATCTAGTCTCTTGGTCAAGTGACAGTCGTCTAGTTGTATCTTGTTCTAAAGATTCAACAGTGAAAGTATGGTCTATTAATGAAGTTCGTCGCTGGAATCAAGAATCTGTCACAGTATCTAAAGAAGAAAAGAAAAAACAAATATTTGCTAGTGATATAACCGGTAAAAAACGACCCAGTTCATCGTCGTCATCAGTACATCAACGTAAACGTCATTTGTTACATGATTTACCTGGGCATTCAGATGCAGTTTATGCATTAGACTGGAGCCCTGATGGACAATATGTTGTTTCAGGCGGTAAAGATCGAATATTGAAATTGTGAGTTTTAATTACCAATACGTTTTTGAAATAAGATAGTTTTCGTCACTAACAACAGTAAGCAGATATGTTTTTTTATTTACATACAAAAATATTAAAAGTGGTTGTATTCCCCTTATGTAAATTGATATACATCTTTATGAGTCAGTTGAAGCTAGACCACCATTGAAAACCTGGAAGCACTGGACGGCCGTTTCGTCCTAGTATGGGACTCCTCAGCAGTGCGCATCCAGTGCTTCCAGGTTTTCAATGGTGGTCTAGCTTCAACTGACTCATGATTTCAACCTGTGAAATTTACTAAAGTCTCCACAAAACTCATTCTGATATATCTTTATCTCCTAATGTTTGGAAGTTTTAATTTCAGCTTCATCATGTATTTCATCAGTTAAGTTAACTAGCGTATGTCTCATGTTATCTCATTCTTAGTGAATAAGAATGTACCTACTTACGCCTGTTACCCCTCGTAGAGGAGCATAGGCCACCCACCAGCATTCTCCATCCAATCCTGTCCTGGGCAATCATTTCCAGCTCCTTCCAGTTGTTATTCATCCTTTTCATATCTGCTTTTATTTCTCGACGTAATGTGTTCTTTGGCCTTCCTCTTTTCCGCTTCCCTTCAGGATTCCAAGTTAGGACTTGCCTCGTGATGCAATTTGGTGATTTGCGTAATGTATGTCCTATCCATTTCCATCTTTTCCTAATTTCTTGTTCAGCTGGAAGCTGGTTTGTTCTCTCCCACAGAAGACTGGTGCTGATGGTATCCAGCCAATGGATGTTGAGTATCCTGAGTAGGCAGCTATTTATAAATACTTGTACCTTCTTGATGGTAGTTGTGGTAGTTCTCCAAGTTTTAGCTTCCTACAGTAAAACTGTCTTGACGTTCGTATTGAAGATTGTGACTTTCAGTCAGTCAGCTACAACGCTGGACCAGGCATATATATGCATCGGTCCAAGTTGCCATACCTCATTAACACAACAAGATGGACTTTGATATTGGTTGAAAGTTGTTTTGAGTTCCACATGTTCTTCATTTGAAGGAATGCGGCCCTTGCTTTGCCAATCCTCGCCTTTACGTCTGCATCTGAACCTCCTTGTTCATCGATGATGCTTCCCAGTTATGTGAAGGATTCCACATTTTTCAGAGTTTCGCCATCATGTGTGACTGGGTTGGTGTTCTCCGTGTTGTACCTGAGGACCTTGGTTTTCCCCTTTTGTATGTTGAGGCCTACTGAAGCATAGACTTCTGCTACACTGGATGTCTTTATTTGCATTTGTTCGTGTGTATGGGATAGGAGGGCTAGGTCATCTGCGAAGTCCAAATCGTCTAATTGGTTCTGAGTTGTCCATTGTATTCCGTGTTTTCCCTCAGAAGTCGAGGTCTTCATAATCCAGTCGACCACCAGAAGAAAGAGGAAAGGAGAGAATAAACAGCCTTATCTGACTCCGGTCCTTACTTGGAATGCATCTGTCAGCTGTCCTCCATGCATGACCTTTCACTGTAGTCCATCGTATGAGTTCCGGATAATGTTGACAATTTTTTCAGGAACTCCATAGTGTCGAAGAAGTTTCCATAACGTCCTCCTATCTACACTGTCAAATGCCTTTTCATAATCAATGAAGTTGATGTACAGTGAAGAATTCCACTCAACTGATATTTAGACGATGATCCGTAGTGTTGCAATTTGGTCTGTGCACGACCGACCTTGACGGAACCCAGCCTGTTGATCTCGAAGTTGGACGTCTACTGCGTCTTTCATTCGGTTCAGCAACACTCTGTTAAAGACTTTTCCTGGTACTGACAGTAGTGTAATGCCTCTGTAGTTCTTGCGTTTGCTCAGATCTCATTTCTTTGGAATCTTGATGAGGTCTCCTTCTTTCCAGTCCAGTTCCTCCTCCCAAATCCTTTTGAATAGAAGGTGAAGCATGTTTGTAATTACTTCGATGTCTGACTTCAGTGCTTCAGCTGGTGTATTGTCAGGTCCTGCTGCTTCCCCTCTCTTGATTTGTCTGATGAACATTCTGATTTCTTCCTTCGTTGGTGGGTTGACGTCTATGGGAAGATCTGTGTGTGCTGCTTCGATGTCCGGTGGATTCATTGGAGCCTGCCTATTCAGGAGTTCCTCGAAGTACTCTACCCATCTGTTTCGCTGTTGTTGAATTTCAGTGATTGGCCTGCCTTCTTTGTCCTTGACCGATCTCTATGGTTTACTGTATTTCCCTGCTAGTTTCTTCGTTGTATCATATAGTTGTTTCACGTTTCCTTCTCTAGCAGCTTTTTCCGCCGTCGTTGCTAGTTCTTCCACGTATTTCTGCTTGTCGGTTTTAATGCTCTTCTTCACTTGCTTGTTTGCTTCTATGTTCTCAGCTTGTGCTTGGACTTTCTCTTCTCGTGTTCGGCTGTTATTAATTGCTGTCTTCTTGTTCTCCGTTTCTTTGATCTTGTCCAGTGTTTCTATAGAAATCCATTCTTTATGGTGGTGCTTCTTTAGACTCAGAACCTCTTGACACGTTGAAGTTAATGCTTTTTTGATACCCTTCCAGTTGTCCTCCATAGTAGTTCCTTCTTCCTTCTGTAGATCCTGTAAGGCTTGGAACCTGTTGTTGAGAGCTATCTTGAATTCGTTGAGTTTGTCAGTATCTCGAAGGAAGGCTGTATTGAACCTTTATAGTGCTGTTTTTCCAGTTGTCCAGTTCTTCTTTAGCTTCAGTTTTAAATTGGCCACAACTAGGTGATGATCTGAAGCTATGTCAGCTCCTCTCCTAGTCCTCACGTCATCCATTGTCCTTCGGAACTTTTTATTGATGCAAATATGATCTATCTGGTTCTCTGTAGTGTGGTCCGGTGAGATCTATGTAACTTTGTGTATACGTTTGTGTGGAAATATTGTGCCTCCTATGACCAATTTGTTGAATGAACATAGATTTGCAAATCCATCTCCATTTCCGTTTCTCTCTCCCAGTCAATCCATGTCGTCCCATGATATCTTGATATCCGGTGTTGTCTATTCCGACTTCGGCGTTTAGATCTCCCATCAGAATGGTGAGGTCCTTTCTTGGGCACTTCTCTATGATTGATTGGTGGGTGCATAACATTGGATAATATTCATTAAGATCCCCTCCTTCTTTGTTTTGAATGATGCTTTGATGATTCTGGATCCGTGAGATTCCCATCCTACAAATGCATTTCGGGCTGCTTTGGACAGCATTAGAGCAACTCCCTGAGTGTATGGAGCATTTTCTTCTTCGTGACCGGAGTATAGCAGCATCTCCCGTATTCAGCCTTTGTTGTACAGCTTGGGTCCAATGTGTTTCACTGATTCCTAGTACTGCCAAGTTGTATCTCCTCATTTCCGTTGCTATTTGACTGGTCTTCCCGGTCTCCCATATTGTCCGGACGTTTCATGTACCTATAAAAATTTTTGCTCTGGTTGTTAGAAGGGGCATCGGCCTCATGGCTTCCGAAGGAACTCGGCTTATACCATGAGACGTCATAGTTCTTTTAAATGAAGACCTTCTAACTCCGAGGACAGAGTTTAAATGGTTGGAATTATTTTTCTGGTTAGCGTTTTTTAACGAGTTAGTTTCCTACGGGAAGGAGTTGCTAACCCCATGCCCAACCCTCATTTACCCGGGCTTGGGACCGGCAGTAACTCTAGAAGAGCTACAGGCGGAGTTAGGAATGCTGTCCTTGACTTAATATATGCATCTGATCCTCCTTGTTAATCGGTTATGCTGTCCAGCTACATGGAAGTTTCCACTTCTTCCAGAACTTCTCCATCAAGTGTGATTGGATTGGCGCTCACTGTGTTGTATTCAAGGATCTTGATTTTTCCGTTGTGTATGTTGAGGCCTGCTTATGCAGAGGCTGTAATAAGAATGTGTGATATAACAATTCTTCACAGTTTTATGCTATGTGTTGTTTACTGATATTTGTACAGCTTGGTGAAATCTAAGTTACTGAGATGGGGGAAGAAATTATGTTGATTCATCTGTCCATATTGCTGAATGTAGTTTATTTATTTATTATCGTATTAAACCATCCACGAAATCGTACTAATCTAGTAAAAAGCTATATACTTTACAAGCATATTTTTATCTACTAAGGTTGTGATAATCGTTTTCATTCGATTCTAAATAAATGCACCCAAAGAGTCACTCTGGTTGTGAATTCTTACACTTCATTAGATTTTTTAAAATATTTCGTTCAATCGCATAGAAATAGTAAACAGTGGTATTTTTCATAAACGCAGTTTTATGTAAATGTTAATACTTCCCGTTTCAGGATGATTATTATCAATAGCCGTCGTTTGTATAGAACTGAAGTATCTCATTATTGAGATCAGTTAGTGGTTATGCTTTTCAAAAAGTTCGATTTAATTGCGGTAGACATCTATAATTTTGTAGTCTACATCACTAACCGAAGACTGGAAAGCACTGAACAGCTTTTCGTCCTAGTATGAAACTCCTCAGCATTGCATATCCACTATCACACTAAAGGTCAAATCCATGGCCTACGGGTGTGTCAACAAGCGCTTAACTCTGAAGCCAGTGTTCTTAGATTCAATGACTCACATCTCATGGATGCGCACTGCTGATGATAAGATGAAACAGTTATTGAATGATTTGTGGCTTTTCAATAGTTTCTTTTTAACTATTGTTGGTCTGTGATGTGAACTATCAAATCAAATTAATCTCCCTAATTGCCATACAGTTAGTTACCTTAATTAACGGGGAATATTTTCGTTTTTGCTTCCTCCTACCTTCAATAACTCTTTTTTTCTTTCTGTTTCAGATGGCGAGCGTAAAACGTATCAGAACATTATTTTATATTCCTTACAAATATCACTGAAAATTTAATTTTTGCGACCATGTTGATGGAATTTTCTAAAGTAATTTTCTCCTATTTGTAAATATAAACATGTATATGGAAAGAATTAATAATTAAAATATATTACAGTAGATAACAGTTATGCGTTTTTTTCTCTTCATTAATATTTTTCAAAAACAAATTTCTATATTATCTCCATTAGAGAATTGTTTTTGTACACTTAATTTTCAATAATTCACTCATAAATTACATGATCAGAAGATTCGAAACCAGGACCTATCAGTCTCGCGCGCGAGAGCTTAACCACTAGGTCACTGAGCCGTTATCCAACGGTGTTAATGTATAACTTCAACCAATCCACGAAATCGCGCCATATTAGGACGAAACGGCCGTCCAGTGCTTCCAGGTTTTCCATAATGGTCTAGCTTCAATTGACTCATGATCTCAACTATAAATTACATGTTCAGTTTATTTGACCATGATTTAGGTGTGGCCCCCAAATGCCCTAGAAAGACCGAGAGTGAAAAGAGTCAGCTTTCTCTCTCGAAATGCTTTCATATGGCCACGTGCATACAACCACTGCCAGGGAAATCATACTCACTGTATTTTCGCCGCGAGGGTATCGTCTACAAAATTGAGAGGACGATCAGCGAATGTCCGGCGCTTTAACAGGGTTGATGGACACGGAGGGTTTGCTTAGGGGAGTTAGAAATTCTTGATTCCAAATCAATGTGGCACATGGGCTCCAGTATCCTGAAGGAACAAATGTTGTATGAACCAAGTATTGGTCACGGGCTACCATGGGACTGCATCTCCTGACGTTGCTCCACTGCCCTGCAGATTAGACCTTTAGGTCGAAGGCTCCGGGTGTGGCCCCCTAAGAAAACCACCTGTTTAGGTTTGGGCACTCAGATAGTATGGCAGCCTTCACATAAATTGAATGATTTATGTGGCGCACATCTATTTGGTGCCTCGTTGTACCAGTGTTTATATGTTTAAATAAACAAATGATTTAGATGTGAGTGTATGTTTGAGCGTATGTAAGGCTAATTACATTATTTACCATACAAGAACATTAGTATCTAAAAGTTTTATTGAGCTACGAGAACTTGATAGACTTTAATGGGAAAATAATCCACTTTTAATTAAAATGACTAAGAATCAACATTGAGTTAAATGTATACCAAAGTTTAACAGTTATTTTTGTTTAAGTTGTTTTAATCTTAAAAGAATGTCTCAGAGATCCAATGGTATATTTATGATTTTATGTTCAATGAAATGAGTTATAATCAATGTAAAACTTGGCATAATTGTTTGTTAATCCAAATTACCATACCACATTAACACAAATAGGTGAAACTAACAAGAAGAATAGTGAAAATGATCGTGATAATGTATTAGGAATCACAATAAGATAGAATAAATATTAAAATATGGTTTGAAAAGATGAAATAAAAAGCGTGTGCAAAAAAATGTTTTACCTTAATATCTAAATTAAGATAACAAGTGAGTACTTTTGTTAAAAATATGCTTTAGTTAATGCCATATGTAATGGACATCATGAAACAAATGTTAAATGCTACTCGTTTCAGTGCTGAATTAACGGGACTTGAGTAAATTAACTAGTTAACTATCTAGCTGTATAATTACTTCTCTTTCAACAACTTGAAAATAAGATGGCTTTGTACGGATCTTCATAAATCTACCAAATAATGGTATCGTATTCAGTACAGTATCGGGGCATCTTAGATTTAACGTGTTGGGGACTTGTGGGTGTTGTTTACTGTTGAGAATTCATCAAAAACTGTGAAATAACTATTTGCTGTTGTCTGGGTACGGGTGCTTCAAAGCTGAACTTATTTTCAAAATATGTTGTCACTAAATAACTATTTTACTCCGACTTATGCTCCGTTCTTATTGATTGTTAACCGTCGTCTTTTTATCGGATTGTTCAAACTTTATCAAAGGGATCAATTGTTTTTAATGTGAGGTAAATCTTTTTGTTGGCACGGCTTTCAAGAAGCACGACGAAGCCTCCAAAGGCTCTGAAGGAGCGGAATAGATCCCACTCAATCATCACCTGATAAAACTTTTTAGAATGTCAACGTTGCATGCTACGACTGGACGATAGTATAACTCGCCTCCTTGCGGATCGGCTGAATTTTAATGATGTTATAACCAACGCTAATAACTATAAATACCCATGTTTTTCTGTACATTTTTGGTTCTTATTCAATAATCACTTCCCTTGCTTTTTCCATCTCCTGATTTGCGACTGTGGGGTTCTACACTTTCAAGTGCCGTTAGTTATATATCGTATTCGGTCGTAATCAAGTAGAGCACGTAACACGTTTTTAGTTCGTTCACTGGCCAGGTAAATTAAGACCTGAATATCGGGCATATTTTTTGCCTACTGGTTTCATTTGGTATCGCAGAATAAGTTGCTAAGCTTTTATATTGTCGAAGAATCGCGAAGGAATTTCACAGTTTTTATATTCAATACGAAAGAAAACACTAATCCGCAATCTTATATGTTAATATCCTTTTCTTCTCAAAGTTACCTTGAAGATAATCATTATATTAATCATTTTGAAAGTTTCACCTCGTAAGCATTATCTCACGTATCAGTTCACATTAACTTTTTTTTCTGATTGAACTCGTTGGGGAGATCCAGAAAACTCGAAAAAAGCTAGGAAAGGCTCTGAAAACCCTAGGATTTCTGCACGTAAACGAACCTTTGGAGTAAGGCGTTTCTTCCATAATTCGCGCCTTTTCTCTCTTGTTTAGGTCGCTGTGTAGATTTAGCCTGAGGTTTACTAGAAATGCTTAGGAACAGAATCTAGCATTCAATTAGAAGAATTATTAGGAATTCTTACAGTCGAGGGGGGTCTGTTCTCACTCACTTCATTATCAGCGTAAAGGTGTTGTTCACCGGTGTGAAAACGCAAAGCAAACATCTAATGGTTTGACAGTTTTGGTGGGTACGGTGGGAAGTTAAAAAATCCTGATTCCAAACCAATGGTCTCTAAGATCCTAAGAAAATGATAGGCGTATAAGAGTATTTCATTCACTAGTTATCATGATACAACATCTGACGTTGCCTTATAGATTAGGCCTTTTGGTCAAGACTTGGGAACTGTCCCTTGACAGAAATATCTACTTCTGTTTAGGAGTTCGAGTAATATCCATACCCCACTCACAAATATGACAATTATGAAGAAAATACTATACACCTATCGATTATAAGCTAAGTTTTATGTTCGACGTAATGAATTCTTTGTTTTTTCTTTCCCAAACACCTTCAAAATGATAATAAGTAGTAAATGAAATAATTCCTACTTACAAATTTATCTTAATTCATTGTCTTTTTTTTATCTTTTCTTTATAAGAAAAATAGTCATAGACAAAAATGAATTATTCTATTTATAAATAAATTAAAGATATGAACCAAGTTGATCATTGAAATAACAAAAAACACATCTAACTTGATGAGTAAATAAAAGAAAGATAATTTAATCAGAAAATAAATGACATTAGTAGAGGAAGAAAACTTTTGTGATTAAGGAGAACGACAACTAATAGATAGATAGATATGAAATATATTCAGTTCATTTGAGGGTATTTTTATGTAATAATGACTATGTATGTGTGTTTGTGTGTGTGTGTGTGTGTCTGTTCATATTCATGATTGTTGTTATCACTAAAATATAGACATAACTGTTTATTCACTAATAACAATTATCATCATTCCTATCAATTTATTATTCATATAGTGGAAAATTAATTATTGGAAAAAGCGGTAAAATAATTGTACATTGAATGGAAATGTCTATATTGTCTTTATTGCCTATCTTTTTGAGTGTGTGCGCATGCATTTTTGTTTTATTTTAACCTCTTATTTTCTTTTCTACTTCTGTTCTTCTTGAAGTGTTCAAATGGTGACAGAAATGATGAAGTAGTGGATAATTGTAATAATTATTTATCATTCTCTTTTTTTGGGGGGGGGAAGGGAAATGAATTTTCAAGACGATTAACTTGATAAAGAGATTATATATATATATGTATATTGCTTATTAGAGATTAGTTTTATTTTAAATCTCTCCTTGAATATCCTTTACATTTTATGTATATAAGAAACTGGTTAATAAGAATGATGCACAAAATGGAGATTAATCATTTCCTTTTGTTATATCTATTCACAATTCGCAGAATAGATTATCATTGTGAATTTGTATTCAATAGAAAGTTATAAATTAGTGAATGTTTAGGGAAAATGTATTTGTTTGACTAAAATGATAGGCGTGTGTGTATATGAATTTTGAAAGATAATCAACAATTTATTTAATGAATTGTATGCTCTAGAGTAGATCAAGCACGTTGACAAAAATGTGTCTATATGGTAGGATCTAGGATTGAAATGAGGATATTCAAATATTAGAATCAACTTTGGTATTTCGGGACTTCATGTATTTATTATGAATTATTCTAGTTTTGGATATTTAATATTGTAAAGATTTGCGATCCTAAGGCATATTAGCAAAAATTAAACGTTTTATGATAATAACAGTATCAGAAGGGGTTTTGTGGAGATGGTAGTAATTTCAATAGTTGAGATCATGAGTCAATTGAAGCTAGACCACCAGGGAAAACCTGGAAGCACTGCACGGCCGTTTCGTTCTATTATGGGACTACTCATAATCATAATCTCAACCATTGAAATTACTACAATCTCCACAAAACGCCTTTTGATACTAATTAACATATGCTCACTAGTGACTGGCTTCAAGATGCATATCCTGGAGTTCTAGTGAGAAGCAGTGACCAGTGGATTTCGACCGGGTCAGTTGTGAGATAGTAACTTACTGATGACAATGGTGGATGTGTCGCTTAATTTCGTGGATTAGTTGAAACTAGACGTTAACACCGTTGGATGCCGGCTCAGTGGTCTATTGGCTAAGCACTCGCGAGGCCGAAGTCCCTGTGTTCGAAGCTGACGGGGCAGGGTCGTGGGCGAGCACTACTGAGGAGTCCCACAATAGGACGAAACGGCCGCTCAGTACTTCTAGGTTGTCCATGGTTGTCTAGCTTCAATTGACTCATGATCTCAACTATTGAAATAACAGTATCATTAATTGGTTGTACTTACTTTATTAATTCATAACAAATAATTGTTGCTTTGGATAATTCAGATTAACATCCTGTATTATTTTATGATTAGTAAAGGCTCTAATTGTTAATACTTACAACTGAATTCTGATCAATCTTTGTTGGCATATGTGCATCCTCTGTCCATTACCTCGATACAGCCATTTTATTACAAAATCATTTAGAATGGATTGTGGCTAGCAATGAAATTCAAGATATTCCATCCTATTAGGGACTCATCAGGAATAATTCACCTGGTAGAATTCTGTACATATAATAAAGCCAGTGATTTAAACTATGTAGTGGCTTGCTTTCGATATTGAAATGTTTAGAAGATAAGAAATAATAACTGGTGAATTTATTAAATTTAATAACTGATTAATAGATACAAATAAGAGAGATCAAGGTAACTCATATCGACTTGATATTAGTTAAAGAGTGATTGATCTAAATACAGAAGAGTAATTTATCTGAATTCATCAATGGGTGGGTGATTTATAAACTTAAAATTGATTTATGGTAGTTAAATTATTATATACTCGACCAAATCGATGATATTTTGTATCGAAGAGAGGTTTTTTTAAGAATACCAACCTAAGGTTTAAATAATACAGTTAGGAAGTAACAATATAGAAACATAAACAACTTAGTGGTTGTTTCATACTGAATTGTTATTTTCACACTAATGAAGTAAAAAAAGTGTCAACGTAAATTACGGTGCTCAAAGTATCTGGTCAGATTTGTGGTAACTATTTAGAGATATTTCCTTTAGTTTGGTTCACAGGATACTCTATTATCATTGAACGTCAATTAGCTGATTAAAATGTATATAACCTCTGTCGAACTGCAAAGAAGAGCTGTTGTTTGATTTTAATTATATAGAACTCTTTATGTATTCAAGTCACGTACACTTTAAAAACAACATTCATATAGTCTACCACACTTAGTTCATTTTTTCTATTATAATACTACGATTCGTATTCGATTACTTTGAGATCGTACATCAGAATTTCAGCTCTATTATTGTTCACTAACATATTCGACATCTTCAATGGATGTTATATCCCGATAATTTATATATATATGAAATTTGGTGCAAATAAGCACTGAAAATAGTATGTTCCGCAAAAATAATATTTCTGCATGCGTTAGAAATCTACTCTGGCGCTCAAACCTAGAGAGGTGCTTTTTATAGGTAACCGTTCTTCAAGTTTTCAATTAATGTCCTGATTCACAAAGTAGTGGAGCACTATCAGAAAATCCAGTCTCGTGGTGGTCGATGACCAAAATTGTTCCATTCGCCGCTTATCCCTTTTAGTATCATGTAGTTCATGTTTACCACTGTTTTGAAGTAAAGGTTTTCCAACCTCCTTGGTTGAATTAGCCAAATCTATCAACAATTTTTCAGAGCTAAGATTTTTTGCCGCCTTATTCATTCTAAACAGAACCCCCATCAGCATGGACGCAATGAGTGGAGGAACCTATCCTTACTAATATGATCAATTTAATGGTTTTCACTCGGGGATCTCTGGTCAGTGAATGTTTCTGTCTCATAAAAATATTCTTGTTCTAGTTGATTCAATAGGATATTGTGTTTATGTTTAAACTCACTTCTAACTTGATTCCCTTCTAGATATTATGATTGTTAAGTGGATATTGTTAAACTCAAACTGTAGTTCGTCAATACAGACTTACAAAACCATCAACTAACCTATTTTATTACCCAACTAACTATGGCTACTTCACCAATGCTCAACATTATCAGAGATATCACTGATAAATATTACAGAAAATCACAAATAAATGACTTCATTTTATTGAACAGAGGAAAATAAATTGCAAGTTCTATTTAAATAAAAAGTCGTATTTCATTCTTGTTTTTATTTACCCTGTGTAAATTATATTCATTTAATGGTATACACAAAGCAATTTCCAGTGAATATATATATATTTAAAACGAAAGACATCTACTAACATGAGAAAATATTTCTAGAATGTGTATATGATTCAATTATAATTGATTACTAATATATGTAAACGGCTCCCATTGGAGCCATGTTATAAAGGAATGTAAATCAGTCATAATAATGACGAAATTCTAAATTGATCAGAAGAAAACTAACTGATAAACCATCTAAAAACGTTCCAAGTTAAACAGTTAGCGTATATCAATTGAAATAAACGTCAACTAATACCCTAATAAACACTTTTACAAGTGGTATAAGAAAATCCATTCAAATTGTTTAGTGAAATTATTAGTTAAGCTGACCAACCATATTGCACTTTAACTCTGAAGATCTTTAAGTTATTATTATCATTATTGAAAAAATATAGTAGTTTATTGATAGATGCTTTGTTTTACTTATTGTTTTCTGATGAACTTGACATTGAACATGGAGGTAGGTGAGATGGGAAAGATATCGGGTGGACAGGAGATGTATATATAACATTACTTGGAATATTACAGTTGCTATCAAGGTGAGTAGTATCCAGTAATTTCGACTTGATAGGTTCAAATGTGATGCTTTTATTATCATCATTTAATAATAAAGAGTCTGACTGTTGAATTTGTGAGTTAAGACGTATGATTAATTTGTATAATTCATCAATTGCATTTGCCTGCATTAGAATGTAATTTTTCGCTAATAACAATGTAGCGATTTTTGACAGTTTTCTTACAGATGGACTGTGTGCATACGGGATAACACTGCGTAAATCATCTAATGCATCATTTAAATCATGCATTCGTCGTCTTTCTCTAGCATTTATACTTAAACGAGCATTTCGTTGATGATGATGCTGAACGTGATGTTTAGTTACATTTCTTGAATGGGCATTTGAAAAATGATGACGGTTTAAATATGTTAATGAATGAGATGTTGTTGTTATTAATGATGAGGGAGATGAAGATGATAACGGCGTTGTTAATTTCCATAGTAGATCATTTTTCTTTCTATCATAAGAGGTTTCGCATTTCATACTTGGGAATAAGATAAGGTCATCACTATTTTTTTGTGATTCAGTGGGATCATGTGAAGTAGTAGTAATAGTGGTGAATAAACAACTATCATCAATATCGTATATTTCATCCATTTATGATAATTATAAATGGAATTAATCTGTAACAGTTTGAAACTTCCTCACATCGTTCTCATCGTATATTGGTCAGGTCTGTTGACCAATCAGAAAAGGACTATGACAAGATGTCAACCAATCACATCTATTCGATAGTTTAGACGAGGTTAACTATTCGTTACAAGGCTGGTTAATTATATTTCTATTAAATTAGTGTATTCCCCACAAAACCTCTTCCTGATATTTCTATTATACAGAAATAAAACTAGTTAGGGAGTAGACTAGGATATTCAGAAGTTCAATGAAATCTTTGGTAATGGAAACGCAAGTATCAGTGTCTCTAAAAGATCATGAAGAGAACATCCATATTTTCAGTACTGTTAATGTTTATATTACCAGTAAATCCTCGTCGTTATAGACTAACTTTGATCTGAATAGAATGTTGACCGATTAATAAATTAATGACTACGTAAGCGAATTCTACCAGTTTTAAACAAATAATTTCGAAATAGTTTGGTACTGGGTATGGTGAATCGTAAAAATAAAACTTTTTACGAAAACCATAACTGAAATCAAACTATCCAGATGTTTCTTTACACAGTTTGGTTCGACCTTCTTCAAGAAGATAATCCCAAATATAAAATATAAGTAAGGTCGAAAAACAACTATGAGTTAAGCGACTGTTTAATCATGTTAGAATTTTGGATATGGTTCGATGTAACAATGAATTAGTGTAAAGAACTGACATTCGCTTGTAAAAGTAGAAATGTTGATTCGTTACTCTGCAGTGAGTGTTAAACTGGAAATTCGACCATAATAATGTAGGTTATCCTGGGATTTGAGTTGCATTACAATCGCTGCCGAAAGAATAATCTTTAAGAGTCCTATATTCGGCACCTTAATAGACACTGTGAACAAACCGGGAATATACAGATGGTTTGAAAAAACTCATTTCATCCTACTTAATCTGTTGCATGGTGAATAAAGCTTGAGATGATGGAGATGGGAAGCTCTCTTCTGATATTGCTTAAACAGGCAATGACAATTTTCTGATTGGAACATTTATCTCAGTTAATTCAACACCACCAAGAGTATTCAATAACACATATATTGCATGCGACTGAAGCTATCTAGTGAATCCGATTGAATCTGAACTCAAAACCCCTTTAGAGAGATTTTCAATGCCCGAAGATTAATTTGACCCAACATTCAACTGAACTTCTTTATTTGCTGAATGAAAACAGGTGACTAGAAAACCATTGTTTCCGCTTGAACTCAAGGTACACAATCTTGGTTATGATCCATAAACAAACCATCCAGAAAACTAACCGAAACGTTTACTACCCAGATTTAATCTGACCATAACATAGTACGTTATTATCTAAAACGAAATGGTGCTCCATTTATGGGCATGACTATTTCGCATTAATTTTGTTTTTTATTGTTTATTAATGTTCGGTATGTACATATTTCATTGTTAGTTTTCCCAACTTGGCTTTAGTATATATATATATATCAACAATTTAGAGATCTAAAGTTCACATATTTCTGGGCATGTTATGCATAATAAAATAAATCAATCTTACATTTTGGTTTAGGGTGATTTTCGTTCAAATGACTTCCATTATATTATATAATTCAATGCGACTTTTTATTCAAGCAATATTTGTTAGGTTTTACAAAATCTTTAACTAATAATCGGTATACCATTAAATGAATTCGAATAGGAATTATCCTAATTCTTCTTGGGTTCTCATCAATAAAGTTTTTAGATTTATTGCATTTTTGTCTCAAATAAGCAAATAGAGAAGAAAGAGGATAGAAATCAGTCTTGTTCATCGCCATTTGAAGTTAGAATAACGAACTACTGGCTCAGTGTATGATTGTATCACATACAGAAATATTTGTTTATAAATGAAGAACTGATGCTACCGTCCCAGTTTTACCAAATTTTTATTTCACACTTATTAATTTTTGTAGTTTCTTTGACATAACAACAACGTAAAATAACCACATTCAAAAGTATAATCAAGATTTATTATAACAAGAATAAGAAAAAGAGAATTCAGGGAAGAAACTTTTCTTTTCGACGAAATCGTTTACTTAAGTTGTACATTCATATATATAGTTATATGGAAAAATATATCAGAAGGGGTTTTGTGGAGATTTTAGTAATTTCAATAGTTGAAATTATGAGTCATTTGAAGCTAGACAACCATGGAAAACCTCGAAGCACTGAACGGCCGTTTTGTCATAGCATGGGACTCCTCAGCAGTGTGCACCAACGATCCCGCTCCCCGCGAGATTCGAACCCAGGACCTATCAGGCTCGTGCGCGAGCGCTTAACCATTAGACCACTAAGTCGGCATCCAACGATGTTAATGTCAAACTTCAACCAATCCACGAAGTTGAGCCACCGTACGCTATTGTCTTGATGGTGGTCTAGCTTCAATTGACTCGTGAATTCAACTATTGAAATTGCTAAAATGTCTACAAAACCCCTTCTGATATATTTTTCCATATAACTATATATATGAATGTACAACTTAAGTAAACGATTTCGTCGAAAAGAAAAGTTTCTTCCCTGAATTCTCTTTTTCTTACTTAATAACAAGAATATTATAGGAATGATTTGCTTCAGTAAAGTATAAAAACTTTTTTTTCTCTCGTTAAACTAAGTTATGCACATTATTCATTCTAGTTGAAGTTTTATTAATTAGTTTATATATTCAATGATAAAGAAATATGATTTACAGACTTATATTAACAAATAAGAAGACCAGTTTGCAGATTAAACTCTGGTTACATTTGAAATAGACAAGGCAAAATAAATAGCTTGATTTATTTTTGGTAAAAAAAAATACTACTAACTAGCAAAATTAAAATTTTATTCAGTAGTTCAATTATAGATCCGAGTATACAATATGAAAATTATTAAAATTAAACTTAGTTTTAACAAAGATCATTAAGATTTATATTTGAATATATAAGAAAAATATAGAATAAAATTGTATAGAGATGTATGAAAAACAGATCCACTTTTAAGTATTTAGCTAATTTTTGGTGTATTGAATCCAGTTAATAAACCGCTATCCAGGCTAGGCTTTAAAATAATCTTTTGAACATCACGAAATTGAGGATGATCAGAACCACAGAGTATAGTTAATAAAGCTGATTCACATGTAGTCAAATAGACACCTGATTGACTCATTCGTTGAAATCCAAACATTCTACAATACATGTATACAAAGTATGAGAAACTAAAATAGATTTCCAGTGAATTTCATTTTGTTGTATCATGATATTTAAGAAACAAGACAAAATATAGTTGAAATATTAGGCTAAATATTAGAATACATTAGTGCAACATTTTGCGGTTCGTCGAGACTACTAATGATATGTACGCTTCCTAAATGAGTTCTCAAATCAGCTACTTGAGTAAGTAGAAAGATTTCTATTGACCAACTAAATCGGAAGTACATGCACGAACTAATTCATAAACATAGATACATATCCCTCAGAAAACTAAGCGATAATTTTTCAACTATTAGCGTATTCCTAATACATTAGAAAGTCAACCCTAATCTTGACCAATAGTGTGAGTTTGTCAGCATCTTTCATTGACTATTTAGCTTCTATCTAACTGGCCCAGTGTATTAATCAGGCAATATAATCTCATGAGATTATATTCATAAATCTAGGCTGGTATGATGGAATGAGAAGTATATTGAGCACGGTGTGAGACGACTTAGTGGTTGGAGAACCCAGCTTCTAGCCACTTAAATGTAGGATAAGGGTGCATAAAGATTAAACGATGCTACAAAAATAAAAGTAACTGATTAAGTCTTTAAATTATGGTTTAAACTAATCCTATGACATTCTGATGATTTAGTAACATTTTAGATTTTAATAGTCATCAAAAACACTATCAGTGATTTAGCTCAAAACAATTCAAAGTTCTTATTAAGAGATTCTTGCCTTAACTACACCAATACCGGAGATGAAATTGTGAATAAATAAGACAATTGTTACCAATATAAATCAAAAGAAAAAAGTCAATTAAATCATCAGTGAAACGATAGTAACTCATAAATGACTGAATGAGGATATCCTCATTTAAATATTTACCGAAATCTGAATTATTGCCTAAAGCTAGAGTAGTCAAATCGAGAACTCAAAATATTGATTTTCACTCTGACTGAAGAGGAGGGTCTATATTACTGAATAGAACGAGACAACCGTCTCATACTTCCTTATTTTTAATAATTATCCAGCTGATATCAAAATGAAATAGTCTAACGACAGAAGCACGGACTTTTCAACGAATCAATGGTTTCAGCTGTCATAGAAATTGATTTTAAATGATATTTTAAAACTCCTAGGCTCTATGATTAAAAAGAGGCTTCATTAGTGGTCTTTTTTAAATTGTTGGTTCTTATAAAATTGCGGTATCTATTCAGCTTTAGATGGTTTATTACATAAACTTAATTACGGTCGAATGTATAAGATAATTATCAGTTACATAAGTGTAAAACATCTTGTACATTAATATGATATAAACAGAGTAGTTACCTATCAACCATATTTCGTGAAGATACAGCATCTGCAATACAATGAACTTGTATTCCCCGTTCAATTAAATCTAATGCAGTTGACTGAACACAAACATGTGTCTCAATACCACATAATAAAACAGAATTGATTTGTTTTCCCAGCTCCAAAACATTGGCTACTTCATCTGTTAGCATAGAAAATGATCTCTTTGAAATGATGGGAATACCACTTAAATCTCCTAACTCTTTGACGGTAGGACCTAAACCTGAATAACAAAAGGGTTTCCAAAGTATTTTAATAGTAAACTTCATAAAGGATGTACTGAACAGCACTATCGTTGGAAAAACATAAGTTTAGCTATTACTTTCAATACAAAATTTTACTACCTACTTTTCAAGATCATGTAAACAGTTATCATTACCGATATGTAGACTTTTATATAACAATAGAAGTTCTGTTGTAAAAACCAGTCTTATTTTCTCACTTAAAAGTCCGATGATTTGTCGTTGTATAAGTTTACGCGGTCAATAATAATCGCATTATATACGTCTATTGATTAGTGTTATCACTAGATCTTTACATTCCAGTGCAAAGCATAACAAATACATTGCCCAAAGTAATTGTAACCTTAGAAAACCCAAACAGGTTAGATTAAGTAGACAATATATTGTGTCTAACTCTTCGTCCAAAACATGTGACGAATGTATAAGATTTCTGACTGAACAAGAGAAAGAACTAATTTAAACAGCACAATTACTAAACGTCTGGACTTTTACTACTATCAACGTTGTGAAATTTTCTTCCACGTGATATATATATATATATATATACTTACAATATTTTGTTTAGTCTGTAAAATTTGTTTACACCCTTGGTATAGAATACTGATGTGTGATCTAAATCAACAACATAATGTGAACCCATTCCGCAAGTAGTTTTAAATACCACAAGTTGTAATTAGCTAAGGAGAACCAAACGAAATAAAAGGAATTCGTGCTATTGAGCTCAAATTTTTGTTCTTGCCCTCTTTATTATGATAAAGGGAAGTACGTTTATGGAAAAAACCCCGTTATTATCTGAACTATATACTATAAGCGCTATTTCTGTCATCAGTTTTTGTTTGGTTTATTCTTCCTTATCTCGCTTGTAGAATTTGACAACTTGAAATTATACACTAATATTGGTTTTGTCTGTTGGGTGACATTTTCTACTTAGATTTTTAAATGGTTTATTTATGTAAAACTTCCTCACATGTTTGGTTTCAATTTCTTTGTGAACGTTTGAAACAATCATCGTCGCTGAACTACCTAGTAATTCCGAATGTTTCTACCATGTCAAATAAAAAGGCGTAAGCTTTATCAGTCGTTGAGGGGAATTAGTTTAGATGCAGCGATAATATAATCATTGTACTCCCATCTTAAGATGTTTTTTATCAACATATGTAATACATTTTTAATAGAGTTCAGGCTATGCAAGTTCCAAAGAACAATGATAAATGACAATTAATTTTACGAGACACAATTGTTATCTTGAATTCTAACACCACTAAGACAGATTTTCAATTTACCACTTCGCTGAAATACCCAAAACAATGTCACCAGGTTTATTATTTATTTATTTGAACACAAATATTAGTACGAAGGGGCACAAAATACATATACGCCACACAAGTCTCTTGACTGGTGTGTGGGCTATAATACTGTCCGGGTGCCCAAACCGAAGCAGATGATTTTCTTAGGGAGCCACACCCGGAGCCTTTGACCTAGAGATCTGATTCGTAGGGCAGTGGAGCAATGTCATGAGGTACTTTCCCATCGTAGCCGGTGACCAACGATTGATTCATACGCCATTTATTCCTTCAGGATACTGGAGCCCATGTGCCCCATTGGTTTGGAATCAGGGTTTTCAACTCCCCTAGGTGGATCCTCCGTGTTCACCACCCCAGTTAAGGCGCCGGACATTGGCTTTTCGTTCTCTCAATTTCGTAAACAACACCCGCTCTGTAAGCAGGACTTTCCTGACAGTGGCAGTATACGCGTGGCCATGTAAGAGCATTTCGAGAGGGAGAGCTGACTCTACCCATCCTCGGCCGTACCAGAGCATTTAGGGGCACCAGGATTACACAAGAAGACTATTTTGTAAATATACGAAGATTATGTCGATCATTATTCTAACAGGACAATTCCCAGAATATGGCCAAAAACACAAATCTATATGGTTTCGTGCAAGCTTAAACCAATAGACATCCCAATACAGAACAAAGAAATACCTAAAATACGAATAAATCGAGGTGTTACAGTTAACGCTTTTTATACAAAATGTCTTACAAGAATATAAACCACACTTTAAAAACATACTAGAATACTATTCTTCTCAAAACACACCTTTAGGGTACATTTCAGTGACTACAATGCGCATTCCTAGCATTCGAGCAGCTGTTAACATCCGACTAGACGTTTCGACAATAGCATCAAAATGACTAATAGTTGGACGAAATTTTTCCTGTATATCACATAACAATAAAGCAGTACGTGGTAGTAATAGCTTGCCAACTCGTGAAATGCCAGACATAATACTGCAACAGAAATAGTATACAACACAACTTTTATGTTATATCGACAAAAGGTAATCGAACAAACACGTCTAACGATCAACAAAGAGAGTATATACGTTTATTAAAATTAGTAGCGAACACGTCATTTGAAGCGGTGGAAATAAGAACATCGCTGCTAATGTCACAGGTGTGAACTATTTAGAAGTCAAACGTAACGTAGATCCTAGCGCATGAGATTGGGTTGACATACCACACTAGTACAGCGAGATGAAATTGTCAGGGCGAATCCCAGAGTCACAAAATTGATAAAAACAGAAAAATTAGGCATCTAAAATACAAGCTGAGAAAATATAAGCTAGTGAAATCATAAGATCTAATTGAAGACAAAGAGTGGATGCACCTGCACCATTGCAAACAATTTTGAGCCGTGCCGTCCAAAGTTTCTGATCATTGGTTAGTGCTTTATGATTCACAATGATTATCTAGTTACAGTTGGTCTGAAATGCAAACTCGTTGAACATTGATTAAACAACCACCAAAGGCTTCCTCTCAACCATATAAGTGAACACACGTCGGGGGACCGAAACACAGATTTGTTCGCGAAAGGTAGTTAACGTTTAGCTATAGACTTGTAAGTTCTAACCCTGATTAATTTATTTTGGTTTAATTCTGCTCAAATAGGAGAATCTATTACGACTACTATTGAATGAGTATTTCGTCGATCCGATGTAATCTACATGTTCAGACTAAAAATTAAATCGAGAACAGTCGTTGCGAGTGAAAAAGCCCTTCACATAAGAGGATATACCCAGAATTGTCTTAACGTGCCGACTAAGTTGAACTACTTTGAGGATAAACGATGGTCATCTACCAAAAAACCGGTTGATCATTGTATTCAAGTCTATTCAATTGATTCAGAGGAGCTATTTAGTATGGTCCATGTGTTACAGAATGTGCAATCAGGAAAGAGGTGAAAAAATTTATAAATATGACTATCATTTATCACCTGATAAATAAACGCAAGAGGAGCTTCTCAAGTTTTATGTAGTGTCTTAAGTACGTTCCTAAAAGGGACAGGACTACGTCTCCTCTACATAGTTGAGACCACTAAATTGAAGAAACCTGGTAAACAAAGAACATTAGGCTTCTTGATCTACACTGCGTTACAATAGGTTACTCTCATTTTTTATCAGAATGGTTAATTGTAGCGAGCCAGATAAATGCAACGTAGATTGGTTAATTTAACTACATATTATAAGCTCCTAACTAAAAATTCACTATTTTCCGTTTTTAAAATTGCAGATCTTAACTTAAGGAATTTGCAACACCAATGCAGCCACAACATTTATGTATGTCATACAGATTACAATACTAAATTACCGAATTTATACTAGTGCTCGGGGGTAAAGTTGGAGAAAATGAGAATCTACTTAAGGATTCATGATTTTTTAATATCTTACCGAGATCTGTAAATTATTTAGATTTAAACAGTCTAGCTTCTCTTAATTTACTAACTAGTAGCTGGCCATACAAAACGTAGCTATTTTAGTCATGACGCTGTGACTAACTTTGGTGAATATGATTTGCTACAACAACTGTGTGCTACGGTCTTGTTGCATGAACCAAGCCTATAAGTTCGTTTGATGATGGGAAATACTTCTGATCAAAACTAGCAACTGAAATGTCCAATCCCTTAATCTGATGCGTCATTATTCATGAACAATACTGGTGGAGGCATTGCCAGTTTTCATTCGTATTTGACAGGAGTGACTCATCAATTTACAAAATTTCACATTAAAGCTAGTAAGATTTGCTGTATGACAGGTATTCTACACACACACACACACACCGAAAGTCACAAGTTAGCGAAACAGATCAGTTATAAAAATGAGGTCACATACAAATTCACTCTACTAACTGAAGTTTGGATAGCCAGGCTGTGTCGCTATTAGTCGTTATGAGAGGTGTACAATGTTGATGGGCTAAAACGAACAATACAATTAGAGCGTTCACAAGACGGCTTAGAAAAGACCGAATGACTTTAGTTACAGCTTCTAGGTCAACCAAAAGACGTGCTTACTGAGCAGCAGTTCGTTCCGTCCTACTTTGTGGCAGTGAAAAGTGGCCGGTAAGAGTAGAGGATATTCGTAGGTTATTAGTATTTGACCATAGGTGTCTTCGAAGCATTGCTCGTATATCCTGGGACCACCGAGTAAGTAACTCAGTTGTTAGGGAACGGGTAATAGGTAAGGATGGCAAATCAATTGATCAAGTGGTGAAATTTCATCAGTTGAGATGGCTGGGACTGGTGTTACATATGCCCAACCACCTACTGCCCCGACGTGCGATGCTTTCTGGTGTAGGAGTAGGTTGGAAGAAAGCTAGGGTCGGCCAGACCAAAACATGGCGCGAACCCATGAAGTCACTGACAAGTATACTGCGCCATGTTGGTAGGTGTAGACTACCTGGTTGGGGACCGCGAGATGATAGCAACCGATGGTTGGAGACTCTGAATGACATGGCTCAAAATCGTTTGCAATGGCGCAGGTGCATCCACTCTTTGTGTTATCCCAAATTTTAATCTCCTGATTCCTCCTTGTCTCTTTTTTCTCTTCCCAAATTTATTTCACTGTATTACACTCTTTAAATAACATCTCCAAACCCTAATCTTTCCGATTACTGCTTATACTCTTACTACCTCTACCACTACGGGATTGGAATCGACAACTGCATCTCTGTGCTAATGTGGTATGGCAACTCGAACTGATGTACGTACGTACGAAGTTCTACATTGTTACTGACTGACTGACTAACAGCTTCTAGGAGTAAACAGTATCCTAAATTTCAATGCGCTCTATTGTTTTTGTACACCAATTGATCGTAAGAGTACCCCCTTGAGTTGAATAGCTTAGTTGTTAGTGTTAAGCAATATGTTCTAGTTCTTAGCACAAATGGGTATGCTGAATAACCAAAATTTTATTTATTTATTTGAACACATAGATATTGGTACAAGGAGGCACCAAATACATATGCGCCACACAAATCTCATTCGATATGTGTGAGGGCTGTGATACTGCTCGGGTGCCCAAACCGAAGCAAGTGGTTCTCTTAGGGGGCCACTCCCCGAGCCTTCGACCTGAAGGTCTGATTCACAAGGCAGTGGAGCATCGTAAGGAGATGCCATCCCATGGTAGCCGGTGACCAACAATTGGTTCATACGCCATTTGTTCCCGCAGGATACTGGAGCCCATGTGCACCATTGGTTTGGGATCCGGTTAAAGCGCCGGACATTCGCTTTTCGTCCTCTCATTTTCGTAAACAACATTCCCGCCACGAGAAGGTAGTGAGTAGGACTTCCCTGGCAGAGGCTATATACGTGTGGCCGTGTGAGAGTATTTCGAGGGGGAGAGCGGACTCTCCCCACCCTCGGCCGTACCAGGGCATTTGAGGGCGAATATCCAAAAACACAGAATACGACTATACAACTCTTGGAACATACGTTTCATATGCGTTTCTTGGGTAGCAACAATACCCAAAGGTTGAGAAGACCAAAAACGACTCGATATAATTTGAAAACAACCTTGCATGTCAAGGAGGTATGCATTTGTTGGTTCAAGATATGTGAAGAACACATTGTTGACATGAAAAATTCATGATATTGAATCACTAAATAAACAATTTTAAGTAACTGGTATCCTTTATCAAATGTGGAATGGATCAAAATCGATTACAATGGAGAAGACGTACTCTTTATTATCCTGTCTTATAACTCTTTAGTCGTTTGTTAATCGTCTATTCGTACTTTACTTATTTGTTTTTTCCTCCGTCAACATATATTTCTCCTCCCCTCAACCACTTTGTAATACTGAAACTCAAAGCAACATACATGTCTTAGAGATTTTACATAGTTGTACATTATTTTAAGAAAGAAAAAAGCACTTTACTTATGGGTTTTTACCACAGATTATGAACTTCGCTTATGGCTAGATGAACGATTTCGCTAACAGTGGTATACTTATTAGATCTTGCACACTTTAGGAAACGGTAACCAAATAGAGGTTAGATTTACTTTGTATCTTCAATCATTAATTTGTGTGGTTTCAATTCAATACAACTTAAACCCAAAACAACTCCGTAAATCATTGTAATATCATGTTCAGGGACTTGAATAATTTAGTACTTGAAATCTGTTATATTTCAAGTCAAGCTAAGACAAATAAGAATGAAAACTTGTCTTGACACTAGGGCCAATAAGAATACGTTTTGTATGCGTGCACTGACCTTTCTGTAAACATACTCATATAAAAATATTTGTCTACCATTTCAAACAGTCTATTGTTACAAAAGCAAACAAACATATATGCACAAGATTAAGTACGACTGAAAAATAGAGAAGTTTCAGAAAAGTATAATTGGACATTATGAAATGAAATCACAACCTCATCAATGAATCACAGTCTAAATATGATTACTATTTATTAATTACATTCAATCTTAAGGAAATTAATTGGTACCAAGCCGCCAACTTGATCACGTTCTCGCCAGACCTCACAGAATCCATCAGGAAGTAGTTTCCTGATTTGAACTTCATCATCGCACTGCAAGGTATAATGTGAATAGTAATTGCAAATCAACTTTATCATTAAATATACTGACATGTACGAAATAGTTTTAACTTTAAAATGTTGTACGCAACTACCTGGAAAAACGTACAAACTAGGGGGTGCAACCCCACATTCTTCAAGAAAGATTCAGAGGTTAGCATAACATTTGTAACTGCAGCTGAGGAATGTAACAAAAAAGTACGCGGTACAAGTTAAATATAGTTTATCAATTGTGGCACACAGGAAAGCTAATGAGGTTATGGATTAGGAATTTACAGGTTGGTGAACCTGGCCTGTAGTTGCTAAAACAAATAAACAGAGTATGGCCAATACATGATATGTAGTGGTACAATGTGGACGAGTGATGACTGCCCATGAGACCGGATTACTGACATACGACTGTGAATAATTACAAATTAAAAGTAAGAATATTAGTTAGAGGAATAGGGCTTTTTGCCAAATAAAACTACAGGCTTGTATACAAAAGCATTCACGAAAATAACATAACTTGATGTCATGAACGATCAGACAAAACTAATTTTTTAGGTCTCTCATTCACCAGTGAAGTAGAGCCAAACTGGTAGGCTTCACCATTATATTGGATTTAACAAGGATAGTTTAAAAGTAAGTTACTTGTCATTTCTGCTAGCACAAGCGAAAGGAATTTTTTAATGAGAAATCACCTAAACTAACACCAGGAAAATCCTGATCAATCTGATTACAGTTTTGTAACGTACATATTAAGGACCTACAGTACGTCATGTTTCTCAGGCTTTCTGCAGATGTTAGCTACGTAGGGTCTCGGATAAATTTACACACAAAAATTGTTACGCTTTACATAAGCACATAAGGGCCCCCAAATGCTCTGGTACGGCCGAGGGTGGGGAGAGTCCACTCTCCCCCTCGAAATACTCTCACACGGCCACACGTATATAGCCTCTGCCAGGGAAGTCCTACTCACTACCTTCTCGTGGCGGGAATGTTGTTTACGAAAATAAGAGGACGAAAAGCGAATGTCCGGCGCTTTAACCGGATCCCAAACCAATGGTGCACATGGGCTCCAGTATCCTGCGGGAACAAATGGCGTATGAACCAATTGTTGGTCACCGGCTACCATGGGATGGCATCTCCTTACGATGCTCCACTGCCTTGTGAATCAGACCTTCAGGTCGAAGGCTCGGGGAGTGGCCCCCTAAGAGAACCACTTGCTTCGGTTTGGGCACCCGAGCAGTATCACAGCCCACACACAAATAAAATGAAAATGACGATATTTACTGAAAATTCTATTCACGCTTCGATTATCAGTCAAAGAATTCACATTATTATTATTTACTACGTCACTTATTCACTCTCTTTTATTCCCACTTTGTGTATGTTTACTTTTCGACTTATACAGCAGCTCACCTATGGTGGAAACTCGGTTCTATCTAAACGTTCTCGAGTCACTGTCTGGTTGAAAATTGTATGCTACCACCAAATACGAATACTGAGGCAGTTTTTCTGAAACCACGTGCACCATTCAAACTGGCTGCCTTCAACGTTCGCACACTTATGCAGGTTGGACAACAGATAGGGCTGGCTATGTCTTTGGAAAGTCTTCATATCGATGTCTGCTGTCTATCTGAGACCCGTATTCAAGACTCTGGTGAAGTACCACAAAATTGCTCTCTATCTGTCGCTTCGAAAAGCTTGTTTTACGTGCGCTTATCCGGGGACCCTGTGGCATCTTCGTCTGATCTTGCTGGCGTTGGTGTCGCACTAAGCGCTAGAGCTGAGGCAGAACTAACCGATTGGATCCCTATTAACAGTCAGTTATGTACTGTTAGATTAGAAATTTCCATCAAAGTGAGAAGAAATCGGCGTGAGAAACGATGTCTTTTCGTCATCTCCGCCTATGCCCCGACAGATTGCAGCCCGGATGCAATCAAGGATGAGTTTTACCACCAGTTAACTGTTCTTCTACAGGAAGTGCGTTTGACAGATATTGTGGTACTAGCCGGAGACTTGAATGCTCAGGTCGGGCGTCTAGGCACAGAAGAGAACCGTTTAGGTGGCCGATGGGGACTTGCTGGTCGCAAGACAGATAACGGGGACCGTCTACTGCAACTGTGAACAGACCACAACCTGCTTCTGGCTAGCACTGACTACTGGCACAGTCGTCGTCTATGTGCTACCTGGCGTCCTCCTTCTGCATCTCAAGCCTGGACTCAGATTGATCACATCGCGATCAGCTACCGCTGGCGTGGTTGTGTACAAGACTACCGCTCCTTTTGGAGTACCTATCTGGACTTTGACCATGCCTTGGTCTGCGCCAGTCTTACCTTACTTTTCAGTGGACAACGAAGTGACCGCCACCAACGGATTGATGTTAGCAAGCTGGTTGCAACTTCTGTTGCTAGTAAGTATCGAACCGAGCTAGTTTCTAGGCTAGTTACCATTCCACCGAAAAGTATAGATGAGCATTGGTTGCAATTGCATGACGCCATGAAAATGGCGGGTACAGTCAGTTGTGGGTTTGCGAAACGTCCCGCTTATAAGCACTGGGTTTCTTCAGGCTCCTTACAACTCATTGAAGCCCGTCGGTCTACTCCGGGTGACCGTGAGTTTGGCCATAAACGAAGGATGTTATGTAAGGAAATTGGGCAAAGCTTGCGTAAGGACCGAGAAGCCTGGTGGTCGAAGCGTGCTAATGAGTTGGAAGCAGCATCTGCATCTGGTAATTACCGGAAGCTCTTCCAACTCATCCGAGCCACTGGCATCAAGAAGTCTGGTGTGAGCGAAACAATCTGCGAGGATGACCGGATGGCAATCACCACCATCCATTGACGTCTTGGACGATGGGCAGAATTCTTCGAAGGGCAGTTCAACTGGCCTGCTGCTCCGGCAACATCGGTCAGACTATCCTGCCCTCCATGGCCGGTGACGACTGATCCACCAAATGAGGCGGAAGTCCTCAAGGAACTCCAACCCCTGAAGCATTACAAATCACCTGGCCCAGATGACTTATCTCCGGCTCTTTTTAAAGATAGTGGTGACTTTCTGACTAGGGAATTCACGACGTTGTTTACAAAGGTTTGGGAACTAGAGAGTGTACCAACGTCATGGAATGAGTCGATAGTTGTCCCTATCTTTAAAAAGGGTTCACGTCGTTCTTGTAACAACTATCGGGGGATAAGTTTACTTCCGATTGTGTCCAAGCTATTGAATTCCGTCATACTTCGTAGGTTGTTCAAAACCCGAGAAAGATTGACTCGCGAGGAGCAGGCTGGGTTTCGTTCTGGTCGAGGATGTATTGATCATATCTTCACCCTCCGCCAAATGTTAGAACACCGCCATACTTTTCAAAGGCCAACAATCGTAGTGTTTCTTGACATGAGGGCTGCCTTCGATTCGTTGGATAGGACTGTTCTCTGGGATTGTCTATTGAAGAAGGGTGTGCCTGAGAAGTTTATTAACATCTTAAAAAACCCATGTCTAAACACCTCAGGCAGAGTGAGGGCATACAACCACCTCTCTTCATTGTTCCATTCGAGCAGTGGGGTTAGGCAGGGTTGTCCAATCTCACCATTCCTCTTCAACTTTGCCATCGATGACATTCTGGAAACAGCTCTGATGAATGTAAGTAATGGTGGTGTGGATCTGTTGCCTGGAGAAAGACTTCTCGACCTTGAGTATGCGGACGATATTGTCTTACTGTGCGATAATGCCCAAGCCACGCAATCCGCACTTCAGTCAGTCAGTCAGTCAGTCAGTCAGTAACAACGTAGAACTTCGTGCGTACGTACATCAGTTCGAGTTGCCACACCACATTAGCACAGAGATGCAGTGGTCGATTCAAATCCCGTAGTGGTAAAGGTAGCAAGAGTATAAGCAGTAATCGGGAAGATTAGGGTTTGGAGATGTTATTTAAAGAGTATAATCCGGTGAAAGAAATTTGGGAAGACGGAAAAAGGGACATGAAGAATTCAGAAGATTAGAGTTTGGGAGAACACAGAGAGTGGATGCACCTGCGCCATTGCGAACGATTTTGAGCCATGTCATTCAGGGTCTCTAACCATCGGTTGCTGTCATCTCGCGGTCCCCAACCAGGTAGTCTACACCTACCAACATGACTCAGTTCACTTGTCAGTGACTTCATGGACTTGTGCCATGTTTTGGTCTGGCCGCCCCTAGCTTTCTTCCAACCTACTCCTATACCACTGAACATAGCACGTCGAGGCAGTCGGTCGTTGGGCATACGTAACACGTGTCCCAGCCATCTCAACTGATGAAGTTTCACTACTTCATCAATTGATTTGCCATCCTTACCTAGTACCCGTTTCCTGACAACTGTGTTACTTACTCGATGGTCCCAGGATATACGAGCAATGTTTCGAAGACACCTATGATCGAATACTAGTAACCTACGGATATCCTCTACTCTTACCGGCCATGTTTCACTGCCATAAAGTAGGACGGAACGAACTGCTGCGCAGTAAACACGTCCTTTGGTTGATAGACGGATATCTCGCCTACGCCATAAATGACGCAAGTTGGCAAAAGCCAGTCGAGCCTTCGGTATCTGTGCTGAGATTTCGTCACAAACCAGACCACAAGGGCTGATGAGACTTCCAAGATAAGTGAAGCGGTCGACACACTCAACTACTTCACTCCCTATCACTAGTTCGGGTGTCGATGTAACCCAATCCTGAAGCAACATTTTACATTTCGAGGGAGAGAATCGCATCCCGAACATGCTTGCATTGTTGCTTAGAGTGGTCAGAAGACTCTGCATTTTGTCAGCGTCTTCACCAAATAAAACTATGTCATCTGCATATTCTAAGTCAACAAGTGAACCTCCCGGTAGAAGTTCAACCCCTGGAAATTTAGATGAGGAGAGTGTTATCTCTAAAAGTACGTCAATGACAAAGTTGAACAAGAATGGGGAGAGTGGACAGCCCTGACGAACACCACTTGAGGTGATCAATTCTGATGACAGTTCGCCATAAGCTCTCACTCTACCAGTTGTGTTCGAGTAGAGAGCCTTTATAAGGTTAATGTACTTCTTTGGTACTCCTTTCAGTGACAAACACTGCCATAGAACCTCACGATCAACGGAGTCGAATGCCGCCTTAAGGTCGAGAAATACTACCATTGTGGGGCGTCTGAATGTGTGTCTCTGTTCTAGAACCTGACGTAGTGTGAATATCTGATCTATACAACCACGTCCAGGTCGAAAACCAGCCTGGTTTTCTCTAGTCTGTTCTTCACGAGCTTTAGTTAGGCGTCGAAGTATTATTGAGGCCAATATTTTAGACACTATATTAGTCAAACTGATTCCTCTGTGATTGTCACAAGAGGACTTTTGTCCTTTCTTAAAAACTGGCACAATCAGTGATTGAGACCAGTCAGATGGGATTACGTCCAGTTCCCAAATTCTACCTAAGACCTCAGTTAATCTTGCTGCTAATACTGGACCACCATCCTTAAAAATCTCAGGAGTAAACATGTCAGGGCCTGCTGCTCTCCCTCGTTTCAGATTTCTTATGGCTTTTTCAACTTCGTAAAGGGACGGAGGACTTACATTAACTTGCCATTCAGGTTGACTGGAGATCGTGGGAAACCGAAGTGTGGCTGAAGGCCAGTTGAACTGATCCCTAAAGTGTTCTGCCCATCGATCCAATCTCCTGGATTGAGAATGAATAATATGTCCATCTTTCTCTGAGATTGTTTCGCTAACGGTCGGTTTCCTAATTCCGGTTTCCTTAACGAGTCTAAACAATTGTCTACTATTACCTATTGCCGCTGCCTTTTCCATCTCTCTTGCTTTCGCTACCCACCACTGTTCGCGATCATTGCGTAGACTTCTTGTCAGCTTGCGCTTAAGCTCACTCCGCTCTTCATTATGTTCAGAGCCAGGTGGAATGAGTTTTCGAGCATCTATCAGTGCGATAGATGCTGCTGAGATCCAGTGTTGCTCCCTAACTTTACGGTTTACCTTACTAGCAGATATCACCGCACTTAATCAGTTGACAATCAGTGTCCGTAGGTATGGTATGTGCTTTGCACCTTCGAAGTGCAAAGTACTCCTACAAGACTGGCAGGATTCTAATCCTGTACTCACCCTGGATGGTGAGCAGATAGAAGTAGTCGAGAAGTTCGTGTATCTGGGTAGCTGCATAAGTGCTGGTGGGGGTGTGAGTGATGAGATCAATGCACGTATAGTGAAAGCCAGAGCGGCTTATGCCAATCTGGGCCATCTTTGACGCCTTCGTGATGTTAGTCTGGCTGTAAAAGGTCGGATCTACAACGCGTCAGTGAGAGCAGTTTTGCTCTATGCTTGTGAAACCTGGCCTCTCCGAGTTGAGGACGTTAGACGACTCTCTGTGTTCGATCATCGCTGTCTCCGAAGGATTGCTGACATTCAGTGGCAACACCATGTTAGTAATGCAGATGTTCGGCATCGTGTGTTCGGGCACAGAGATGATAATGCAATCGATGTCACCATCTTGAAACACCGACTTCGGTGGCTTGGACATGTTCTACGAATGTCGTCCCAGAGAATTCCACGTCGTGCATTATTTGCCGACTCTGGGACTGATTGGAAGAAGCGGAGAGGTGGTCAGTGCATGACATGGTGTCGTGGTATGAAAGAAAGCTGCAAAGGACTGGCTTGTGTTGGTCCTTCACGACTCCCTGGTTGGGGTCCGAGAGATGGTGCTACACAGTGGCTAGAGACGTTATCAGATATGGCTCAGAATAGAAGCCAGTGGCGATCCTGCTGTAACCTTCTTTTACTTTCTTCATAAAAAGTGGTTGTGTCTCCCTTACCTGAAAGATTTCTGATTGTACCTTTCCGTTCCCTCATTATTACTACACTACCTTACACCAATCTTTTCATCATTGTTCCTTTTTTTCACGCTCCTTATCTTTTTTTTCTCTTCAAATTCTCATTGTTTTGTGTGGCGCATATGTATTGGCGCTCTCTTGTACGAATATTTATGTGTTCAAATAAATAAATAAATAAAAGCACATAAGGAGAAAATTAACAAGATGAAGTGGATGAGTTGGTAGTAAAGTAAATGGCATATAAACCGAGAACGAAAGTTAAATTTCCTAGAAAAAACAATAGAGACGTCATGGAAAGGAAATGAACTATGGTTGTGAGGAATATAAATTGGTATTTAAACCAAATTTGACCGACACCACTCATGTTCTATAACCATAGATTAAGATTACCTTGGGAACTTTAACTTGCAAGTCTGGAACTGCTTGCATGACTTAGTATAATGGCCAATGGTTTCATGGACTGATGCTACATTTTGGTCAAGTTACATACAATCATTTCCAAACTATTTCTACTTCACAGTAGGTGATGCGTGAGACATGCTACATACCCTCAGGCACCTTGGCCAATAAAGACTGAAGACTGTATTGGCTATTTGATTTTGCTACACATAAAAAATAATTTGAAGAATCATACAAAGGAATACTAGCAACCTAAATTCATTCCCAACCGCAGACTGAAAAACAACTCTTTGGATTACCGTATTATTTAATCTACAGCATGTAATATCGTAAAGTGATTTAAATATAACGTTTGGAACATATAAACAACGAACTAACCTCCACTTTCAAGTGATTTGTCGCGAAGATACTGGGATTTCTAGCTCTTACAACCTTTCCAGTAGCTGGTAACTGAACAGATTTTAGCATATGACAATAGGTTAATCCAAGTTGGTCACCAAGACCCTTTAATCTTGCAACAATTTCAGGTGTAAACTAGGAGAAAAGGGATATCATGGATACGTCAGTAAATAATATGAAGAATGTGATGGTAATAGAATTTATGGGTGACTTTTGAACGATGCTAATGATATTGAGACAACTCATCTATTTAATATGAGCAATTGGGACTACGACTTACGGTTAGAAATCAAAGTAAGGGTTTTCATCACGAACGGACATCAGCTATAATCAAAAATGCCATTTAATTATATGGAAGTGTAAATCTTGAGCTAAAATCCAAGACTTCATATCCTTATTTTCACTGGTTTGTTCATAAATTATGGAATCACCGATACTGTTGACAGTTTTAGTCTAGTATATTTTTTAAAACAAACCGAGTCTGTAAGTTAGCGTAACCGAGACATTATAGCAGATGTTATATCTAGTTGCAGCACAGTAGACTAAAAACGATTTGGGGTTGGGCGATAAGACTGGTTTTCACAAGCGGAAAGCTGGCTTGATGATCAAAGTACCTAAATCCCAACAACTTGATTGAGTTATCCTCTATTTACCCCAGGTACGACATTCGAGCATTCATACAACCCTTTAGACGAAAAATTAGATCAAAACTAAATACATGAGCATTTATTTAGTTTCTAGGACTTGCTGAGTTAAGTTGTAACGCGATAGGAAATTGTAAAACAGTGGTCAGTATAACACTGAGATTTGAGGTGAGGTATCATCATGACACTCAAGCTATTTCCGAATTACAGATTGCGTGCAGTAAAAACACGGGAAAATTTTGCGTCAATAATCCAAAGAAACTACATTACTCACCGGAGTTAAATAATTTGAAGGAACCCAACCGATACGGTTATCGCCTGATTTACATAGAATCCACTCTCGCTTTTGTCTTATGAATGTTAACAAATCTCCCCTCTGAAAAGACAAATCTCCCTCTTCCTAGAAAATAACGGGAAGAGAGAAAATAATAACCTGTGCTTGAAACGAATATAAAGCAGCATAAGTAGCCTTCTGGGCTGGCTGCCTCATACGAGTACTCGAAGAGTGTGAAGTATGAAGTCTAACCAACTCATCGAGCGAAGAATAGAGAGTGTCGCCAAACTTGAACTTTTTTAGTTGAGGTGCCCATGTAAGTAAGTAACGCTTGACTTCGTTGGCCTCTCTGATTATTAGCACGTAAAAATAGACATACTTTATCGCAAGCACGTAACCTGACTTTGTAGTGCTGTCACGTATCAAGAATGTTCCAACAGGCTGATCAATTAGAATTTCATTAGCTTTTTCTCTGCTAATTTCACCAAAATACCACCTACAATATCGAAAGAAATCATATAAACTAACGGAGCATCTGGAACTAGTTCGACCGCCATTTATCTCAAGGTCAGCCTTCAGTAATAAGGATTGGAGGTCTATCGACCTATATTAAACCTTGCAGTTTGTAATACTGTGGAGGTCCAATCTCGTTTTGAATATATCAACGGAAGGTGCTGATATTACGTGTTCCGGTAGGGAATTCCAGTAATTCACTACTCGATGCGAAAAACGAAACTCCAGACGTAAATGATTTGATCTCCGTTTTTGAACTTTCTTCGAATGTCCTCTCAAATGATCAGTCCTAGACAGAAGTAAAAGATAAGACATGTTAATACCAAGGTTATCGTTCAGTATAAGGTAAGCCAGTATTAGATCACCCCGTGCTCTACGGTGTGATAACGGAAATAAGTTAAGGTGTCTCAGTCTGTCTTCATAAGATAGGTCAGATAGACCTTGTACCATCTTAGTACCTTGTCGTTGGACCCTTTCCAGAATCTCTGCTTCATATATGAAACAAGGACTCGCTGCTTGAATCCCATATTCTAAATGTGGTCGCACACAAATCGGGTATTGTAATCTAAACATTTCATCATTTAAATACTGGAAAGACCTACGAACAGACCATTTTACCCTATAGCCTTTCGCAGCAGCAGCCTTACAGTGACTAGTGATTTCGAGATCACTGCTTAACATGACTCCCAAATCTCTATAGTTTTTTACTTTGGGTGGCACGAATCCACCTATTGTGTAGTGATAAGATTCATCATAGTTATTAATTTGCATCACTACACTCTTATTGGGATTTACTTTTAGTGACCACCTGTCCAACCATGCCACCAACGAGCTAAGGTCATTCAGCAGTACTATCCTATCCGACATACTATGTGTGGGTCTCCAAATCTTTATGTCATCAGCGAAGAGTGGGACGGATGATTTCGCTACAGTTGGTAATTTATTTACATAAAGTAACAAGAGAAGAGGACCGAGGATCGTACCTTGGGGAACTCCACTTTTTACGTGTACCCACGAGGAGAGAGCCCCAATTACCCTTTTGTCTCCTGTCATGCACAAAGTTACTTATCCAATCTACGACTGTATAATGGATTCCAAAACGTTCCAGGTTGGATTTAAGACCAGAGTGAGAGACTTCATCGAAGGCCTTACTTAGATCTATGAAGATCACATCCACAGGAATATTCTGATCTTTTGCAGCAGCCCAATCTTCTCTCGCAATGAGAAGATTTGTCAAGCATGATAGGCCTCTCCAAAAACCATGTTGTTCCCTGGAGAAAAGATTATGCCTTTTCAACATAGTTTATAACAGATATCCAAATGATTTTTTTCATCAGTTTTACAACTGCAGTAGTTAAGCTAATGGGTCTATAGTTACTAACTAAATCCCTACTCCCAGCCTTATAGCGTCCTTTCAGTCTCTTGGCAGTCTCGACTGCCTTAGAGACATGTCAAACAGTATCGCTAATGGTTCAGCAATTTCATCTGATAGGGCTTTCATAATCCTAGGATGAGTATCATCAGGACCACTGGACTTATCAGGTTTGAGACACTGAAGTAGCCTTAAAACAGTACCTTTCTCAATGACTACAGGGTCCATCAGTGAGCCGCCGCGATCACAGTAAATCGTTGGTCGTTCCTCATTACCGATAGAAAACACTTTACTGAAATATTCCGATAAAGCTCAAGCTTTTTCGGTATCATTTTCTGTCAAGATTAACGGATTTTCTTGTATCAAAAGTAGTGGAATTCCATCGCTTCTCTAAGTCCATCTTTTTAAATACGAGAATAACCGTTTCGGACTAATCTAGAATCCCTAACCAATCGTTTTTCATATGATCGTCTAGTCTTACTTATTAACACTTTACAGACATTCCTTGTCTTACAATAACTGGATCTGTATTGTTCTAAGCCAGTAGAGATGAACATATTCCAGTGCTTCTTCCTTTTTCTAAGAAGTTTCCTGACTGTTTTCGTTATCCATGGTGGACTGTTATTCGGTCTTCGCGGTACCAGGTATGGTATGAACGGGGACGTAACTAAACTAAACTTACCTTTAAATACAGACCATGCTTCTTTAACTGATAAGTTAATATCTACAAACCAATCTGTCTTAGCAGCGTATTCCTGAATGGCTGATATATTAGCTTTCCATACATTTGGGCGGGGTGTAACCTGACGGTATATTATGTCCCTAGTTCTCAACATGAATGACAAAACAGCGTGATCGCTGTTCACTAATGGCGGAAGACTATTTAGGTCGACAATATCCTCAGTATCATAAGTGGTTACCAAGTCCAACAGAGAAGAACTTTGGTTAGCACCAAAACGTGTGGGTTTGGATACATGCTGCACTAGTGCGTGCTCAATTATTGTTACCAGGAGCCTACTATCAAAGTTTATAGATACTCCCGTGGTCATCTCAGTCCAACTAATATCAGGTGCATTAAAGTATCCTATTATCAAGCATATGGCATTATCACTCCAAAGGTGAATATGCTCTAAAATAAAGTCATCAGCTGGGCAGATCGGGCTGCTATTGATAACATCGAGCATAAATGTACTACATCCGATAGCCAATTTACAGCTAATGATTTCACAAGTACCGCTATCATGGGATTCGCTAACAGACGAGCAGATATTAATATTATTGGCTATATGTAACAGGGCGCCACCTTTTATACATCTATGTCCATCAGTCCTTGAATAATGGTATCCGAATAATTCTGGTATAATGTCTAAGTCATGGACTAACCAAGTTTCTGTCAGGGTCGTTTGACTCCAGCAATTTGCTCAAAATAATATTCGATGAGATTAGATTCTTCTTCTCACTCACGCCAGGGTTAGTTTCTCTCCTACTCTCAGATTTTGATAGTACATTTAGTGACTTACTAACTATATACGTGCTGCCTACAGCCTTTTTCTTTTTATTTCGATTTCTACGTCTGTTGTCCATTTTTCATCCCACAGGACACTGGGACTATTTGGAGCAGTGACGGTTTTATCCAGACCTTTAGTTTTCACTAGGGGTGCATGGTTACCAATGTCAGTATCAGGTGGTACTACCCCCGTCGTTAATGCTAACTGAAGTTTCACTTTTCCGTCGGTCAGCGTCGGTTGTTTACGGCGTTTCGTAACAGCACGTACTACACTGACACATTCGGCACTGTCAGTGCTCATGTTATCAGCGCATGCTCCATCGTACCTCTTACAGGCCAAAACCAATAGGCTCATAGCCTACTGTATTAGTAACTTCTTATTTGCACAGCAAAACATGCAGAGCCACTGTGAGTTAGGCTTCGAACATCTTTTGTATGAAGTGGGACTTAAACGGGTGCACATCTCATGGAAACACTTTTTGCATTCATCACACTGCATTCCTTCCTCCACATGGAACAAACAGTTTGGTTGTCCACATTTGTGAGTACTACCAACCATTCTAGTCAGCTTAAGTATAAAGCACATTATGATCGCAGTATGAACACAGTGTCAGTCAACGAGTAAAAGAGTACTACATGACAAACTTTGGCAAGATTTCAAGCCTTAACTAAAGTACTTTGATTTAGACCAACAATGCTTTTGATGCAGTAATTACACAAAAGCAAGAATAATCACAACAAGTACAAAATCACTACCCTTCTTGAAACACCGACGACAAACTAATATGGAAGCAGAAACGATACTGTAATCGAATACTTTAACTAAAATAAATTCAATTAAAGTGAAAACAGTAATCTTGATACGTAATAACGATCAAAACAACGGTATTTACTCAACAAGGAAAAACGCCACTGTCGTTTTAATTAGTGTGAATCAGATATGTTCAGTAAGAACAGAAGGTCTGCGGTATATGTTATTCTTTTTTCAGTATATCTCTGTGAGGGTATAGTCTTATTTTGAATGAGTCATTTGAAGATGCTGACACCACTGCCACGACTAACAGGTTCCAAGAATTGATGACTCGGTGTGAAAACGTGTATGCCACGGGTATTTCGATCATTCTTGGCTTTTCTACTTACCCCCTATGTCCTTTGAGTTGTCCTGATCTGGAAGGAAGAGAAAGAGAGGATATATCAAGTCCAAAAACATTTATTAGTATTCTATACATCGAAATCAAATCGCCTCTTAAAGTGTGATTAGGGGCGTCGTCCCAGCACGTCTGTATCATCAATCTCAGTTTTCTGTAATGTAGAGGTGAAGGAAATTATCGCCCTATTGATCGAACGCATTTCACCAAACCTCAGCATTATAAACATATTTTTGTCACTGAGTGTAGGAGGTCCTTCAGATACGACGGTGATTGAACATAGACAGTCTTCCAACGTTCTCAGCTCCGAGAAATCAGGTCTTGAAAGCATAGATCAGAAATGCTCTCACCGATATGTCTTAAATAAGACTCTTTACAGTCAGGATAATGCCACAAAAAGATGGCTCAGAACGTGATGAGCCGCTCTTGCTTATGCTATGCCTAGGTTGATATAATCTTATGGCGTTAAATAAATCCCCAAAATAAATAGCTCTATAAGTCTTCGACATGGGATGCTGACCACATTAGTTTTAGTGGACTCACCTAGCTGAAGGCTCTCGGTCATGCATCCACACCAGATCACGAGTGAAAACGCCGTGCTCAACATCCCCTGCAATCGCTAGCCAGATTAGATCAGTCGATCCACGATATATTGATAACCTGTCAAGTGTATCTTCGAACCTCCTCGCTTCTGTCTTTTGATTTCACTTGGTGGTCCGATTCATATTAGTTGTTACTGGTTAAAGCGTTGTCAAACTCCAAATACTTGTGGCATCTTCAATCTGATACATCGTCATCACTACTCACACGGCTATCCAGATACATAAAATTTTCTACTGCATCTAACAACTCACCATTAAGAGTGAGAGCATGCGCAGGTTCCTACGGGTCTTATAGAAGTGCTTATAGAACGTTCCATACCTGAAGACACTGAATGTTAACAGAATAAGTGTTAGTTGTAAGTATATTATTTCCTTGGTAATTATTGTTTACCATGTTTGTGAAGCTTCTGCGATG